CATTTTATCACTATCCATTACAGAAATAACTATACGTTATTGTACAGACAAGGAAAAACCTAATTTTATTCATATTATTAAGGATAACTCAAAAACTACCGGTGAAAAAGAATTAATTAGTATTTTTAAAAGAACATATTTATGTTCTCTGTTTTTTATATTAACTATGATTTTTGTATTAAGGCGAAGAATCTAATAGAAATAGGAAAATGTTGTCCTTTTGTTCTGTTAGTTTGATAAGTTTAATTCAATAAAGTAAATTCATAAGTACAAGTAAATGATTTCCACAATTTTTAACAGTAGGTATGTGAATTGGAAAACGTCAGCTTTCAAATATGAAAATTAACAAAATCGGTTCACGTTCTTATGAATATCCAATAAAAAAAATTAACAGTTTTTCAGTAAATGTATATAAAAGTATATATAGTACCAAAAAAACAAACTAAACAAAATATTTTTGTCTATTTGGCTTTAGATTGGTGATAGCTAATGGAACTAGGAGTAACTTAGGCTACTTTTATTTTAGTTCTATTTATTTTCAGAAAAAAAGCTAAATTCCACGCAAACGAAGTTAAAGGGTAATAGCTAGGAAACAAAACAAATAATAAGTCGTGAAGTTTGCAATCTATTCTAGTGAAATATATATTATAGATTAGATTATTGTACAGCAGAATAGTTTATTGTGATTTCACATTCATTATCAGTTCATTATATAGATGCCTACAGGAAATTGACAACTGACTATTATCAGAAGGATATATATAGTAAATGCATATAATATATGTATTTAAAATTCTCGTTACGCAGCGTTTATACCATACTCCTTCGGAACGGTGTTACCGATTTTCATTAAATTTTGCATATCGGGTAGATCTGAGAATCTGCCAACATCTATTTTTCGTACCCCTCAATGATAAGGATGGACCCTAAATATTATTATTAAAATTAATTAATCCCTAAATATTTTTTAGTACCAACCCTAAATAGTTTTAATAACGATATTAATACCTGACATTTATATGGCAAGCTATGACAGCTAGTATAACATTTAAAAATGGATGTATGGTACGGTAAAACCTATATTTTTAAACCCAACTTTTTTATCTCATTTGTTTTAGCAGGCATATTTTGCGAGCGGACGAATATCCTATTTTGATAGGATTATCTACATTTACATACGTAAATTAATGAAGTATGTATTAACCACAGATACAATATATTGTTAGCTTAATTACAGAACACTCAGTTGACTAATTTGTTACTTATTTTCCAATTTGGAACCGTAGTGAGTCACGTGATGTTGGTGGCGTCATGATTATAGCGGCATAATAGTGGTAGATATAAAGAGACCGGGAACAAGGAGGGAGCGGGCTGCTCTCTCTCTCTATCTCTGTTCGAGGCAACCGAGATGACCAGACCTGAATGTACAGCGACGCAATTTACGTGGAGTGTATTATGAAATAATAATACTAATATAATACTAGCTACCCCGGCTTCGCACGGGTGTAGATGCATTATACATATAACCTTCCTCTTGAATCTTTCTATTCAAAATCTATCTACCTATCTGTTAAAAAAACCGCTTCAAAATCCGTTGCGTAGTTTTAAAGATTTAAGCATACATGGGGACGGACAGACAGCGACAGCGATTTTGTTTTATACTATGTAATGACGATATAATTATTATGATAATCAATATGCTGTGAGGAGCTGGTGTCTGAAATATGTTATAACCTGTAATAGATCTGTATTACAGGTTATAACATAATATAATGTGTGATACGACCAACGTGTTCTGGCTGTTTAGGACACCGCTCTACATCCGATGATCGCGGGTTTGATCCGATCCGATCATACTCACATTTGTGAGTATGATTGTTAGTATCGGTCTGTGAGTTTTCTATGTATAAGATGTATGTATATACAAAGAAAATCTTTCTTGTTTGTATCAGTTATCTAGTACCTATAACACAAGCTTTCGCTAGCTTAACTAGGGTATAGATGGCGCTGTGTGAATTGTCCTGATATTATTATTATTATTATACTAAATAAAATATAATCATACAATGTTGGTAAAAACATAATAGGTAATGAAGGTAGAGAGTACATGATAGTGTAAGGAGAATATTACATAGATAAGATAAATTACATGGTACAGTGGACTGGATTACTGGGAATCCTGCCCCCTCGTAATCCGACATGGTCAATTTATTATTGAATATTTTTTTGACAATCTTCGCTAATGTATGATTGAGCAAGTTTGAACTTGTATGCGTCACCACTGTTGTACTCGACGCGTAGTGTATTGTTTTGACTATGATTGCTTAGTTTGAATTTGACTACTTACATGTGATGAAGATAGCAGTGCAGTATAGAATATGTTCATTGTTTAATGTTTATTCACACGTATGCGTATCAACTCAGAAGCGAGAGCATAAAACACTGGCAATTAAAGAAAACTGTGAAAATTTAGACCGCCTAAATCGTAACGAATGTTTTAATAGTTGACATACATAATGATATTTGATTATACTTGAAAGTGCATATACATACATACATATATAACATAGAATCTTAGCACTGGATGTATAATTCGTCGGATTACAAGATACTCTTTTGTAAAAAATTCCAGACTATAGGGATCCTTAGGCAGCACTCTATAATCCGACAAATTCGATGGTCCGACACTGCCCTGCAAAACGTTTGTCGGATAACCGGGGGTCCACTGTATTATTATACTAAATAAAATATAATCGTACAATGTTTAGAGGTAAAAATATAATAGGTAATGAAGGTAGAGAGTACATGATAGTGTAAGGAGAATATTACATAGATAAGATAATTTACATGGTACAGTGGACCGGATTACCGGGAATCCGGCCCCCCTTGTAATCTGTCGTAGTCTAATATTTATTATTAAATATTTTTTTGACAATCTTCGCTAATACATGATTGAACAAGTTTGAATTTGTTCACATCACCACTGTTGTACTCGACTCACTGTTGTGCGTCGGGTATTGTTTTGATTATGATTGCTTAGTTTGAATTTGATTACTTACATGTGATGAAGATATAGCTTGTGTTCATTGTTTACTGTGTATTGCGTATCAGCTCAGAAGCGAAAGCACAAAACAATCACAATGAAAGAAAAATGTAATATTTTAGATCACCTAAATCGTAACGAATCTTTTAGTAGTTGACATACATAATGAAGTATGATTTGTACTTCAGAGTGCATGTACATATATAACATATAGAATCTTATATCACTGGATCTGTAATTTGTCGGATTACAAGATACTCTTTTGTAAAAAATTCCGGACTATAAGGATCCCCCTTAGGCAGCACTCTATAATCTGACAAATTCGATGGTCCGACACTGCCCTGTAAAACGTTTGTCGGATAGCCGAGTCCTCTGTGTTTACAAAGAGAACTTTTGGCAAAACTACTACTTCTAACGAGCAGTTTGCTTTGAATGCTGTGTTTTTTTTTACATATTGAACTTGGGCAGTGAAATTACAGAAGCACAGCACTTTATTCCTCCGAAATGGCATCGCATGGGACTTGATGACGTGATATCCTTCATGATGTTCATGTATATATTGTGGGCAGTTTTGATCATGTAGACTAGGGGAAGGGGATTGTTAACCATACCTATTATTTAACAATTATTTATAATGATCTTACATTATTGATGTGCACTAAGTATTGATACAATTATATCTATATTATAATTATGTTGTTTTTTCTTTTTATATTTGATGTACATATTAATTTATGTAATTATTCTTTCTGTGAGAGGAACAATAAAGTGTTTTTCATTCATTCCATTCATACATACAATAATTAATACTAAATCCCAGTTAATAATGCAATAAAGACGAAACTTAACTATACTCTTAATAAATATACGCACTTAAGACAGATTATGGCAACTAGTGTTTACCGTACAATGCAATATTTGAAGTTTGTTAGTTATCGACACTGATGTGAAGGGGTTAACGTAAATTTGTCAAATCGACGTTTTCATACAAGTAATAGTAATTAGTACAAGATGACCTACTTGGTAGCCAGGGATCAATGTTAATCGACGTTTTCATACAATATTACTTATCGTCCAGTACAAGATGATCTACTTGGTAGCCAGGGATTAAGGTTAATTGGTGGCTATAGTTTTCATAGAATTTTAGTAGTCGTCCAATATAAGTTGAAATAGAATCAATTAAAGTGAAAAATTATAATAAAATAATAACAATTTACCAGTTTCTGTTCACCTAATTACCTATCTGCATGCCAAATTTGAACTTCCTAGGTCATCTGGAACTGGGTTATAACTTTGATCTATAGTTGAGTCAGTGATAAAAATGACGATTTTTAGACGTTAATGTCGTTTAAATGACCCTTTGAGATGTGTTTATGAAATTTGGAACATATATTTATCACGCAAGTCTCAATATATAAACCAAATTTGACTGGTTTATGTGAAATAGTTTTTGAGTTATGAGGGGGTCAAAAGTGGCTCCAAATGGTTCGTGTAAAACTACACACGGTGCTGCTCGCCAGTTCTCTTACTTGAACTTGGCTTTGACACGCTCCCGCGTGTCTAGATAAAGCCCAATATTAATATATAAATTACAAGGCGTTTCCTCGTTTTCAGCCGCATTAAATTACTATATAAAATATAGCCTATGTGTTATTCTAATGCATAAGCTTTATTACTGTAAAATTTCATCAAAATCCGTTCAGTAATTTTTGCGTGAAAAAGTAACAAATATCCATACTTAACAATTTTTTCGTGTTTATAATATTATTAAGATATTAAGTTGGCTTAAGTAAAATAAATTAATAAAAAAAATACGGTCATAACGATAAAGTTGTAGGCGCCTGGTTAATAATATCAATGTAGTTAGTCAACGCAAATACTAATAAACAATCGCTAAATTAATAAAAGTATCTAAATTGACTAAACTTATGTACTGAACTAAAAAATATAAACATACCTTAAATTCTTTCTATGCTATAACACTATCTTATCCACACATGAAAGAATAAATCATAACAAATTTTTAAGTAAATGATTTGTTATAGTAATCTTCAATAGGATTATATTAATGTTTTATTAATTCATTACAATCGTTATTTATTTGTTTCTGATATTGTAATCAGCACTGAATCACTGCCAAATGTAGTATGGAATCTGTGTTTATATATACGAGAACTTCGCACATGGGGCGTGGTCGAATGACGTATTGTACTGATAAAAGACTAATTAGAAAATGTACTAATGTAAATAAGTTGTTAATAATTACTGAATTTACACTCGGATTATTGTATACATTCAATCGGATTATTATGTTATTCTGATGCATAAGTTATGTTACTGTAAAGTTTCATCAAAATCCGTTCAGTAGTTTTTGCGTGAAACAGTAACAAACAACCATACTCACAAACTTTCGCGTTTATAATATAAATAGATACTCGCCCCTGCTTCGCACGGGTGTACATGTATTATATATATAAACCTCTTGAATCACTCTATCTATTTAAAAAAAACGCGTCAAATCCGTTGCGGAGTTTTAAAGATTTAAGCATATATAGGGACAGACAGACGGCGACTACGACTTTGTTTTATACTATGTAAAGATGAGTATTATTGCTTGTATTGATCTGGGCGTTTTATGAGGATGAATCTACCCTTCCTTTATTATTACAGTGGACCCGCGTTAATCCAGCCCACCTTGTAATCCGACATGATTTATTATTGAATATTTTTGTTACAATCCTCGCAAATACATGATTGAACAAACTTGAACTTGTACACATCACCACTGTTGTACTCGACGCGTCGGGTATTGTTTTGATTTGACAGATAAAAATTGTAAAAAATGTTATTTTGGTGTATATACCGTATTTATATTCATATGCATGTAATAAAAAACGGTTATTTCAACATTACAAACAGACACTCCAATTTTATTTATATAGATAATCACTTTTCCTCCGGTAGTCAGAGGTTTAGCCAACAAACCTTCATAGTGCTTTTGTATTCTTAAATTAAAACGGTACCAATATTTGCCAGTTCATTAGTTTATTACATGAGAATAGTAAATACTATTTATATAAATATATTAATGATGTTTTGTTAATCATTAATAACGGACTTACTTTAATGATAATCTTAATATTAAGTATGGGAATATTAAGTAACGATTCTTCCGACACAAGCCTTAAAAGATTTTTATCTGTAACTGTGCAAATCTATACATATAAATAAAATTCGAGTGTCTGTTTGTAATATTGAAATAACTGTTTTTTACTACATGCATATGAATATAAATACGGTACATACACTAAAATAACAACTAAAATATAATACAATTTTTGTCTGTCGGTTTGTTCCGGTTAATCTCTGAAATGGCTGGACCGATTTTGACGGGACTTTTATTGGGATTAGCTGATGTAATAAGGAGTCACGAGTACAGGTATTATATAAATGATATTTATTACAAGAGAAGTCCAATAACTTTTTGTTCCTAAACTAACTGGGAGAAGAGTAATAATAAATTTTAATTTAAGCTTATGAAATATATATATACCAGCTTTTGCCCGCGGCTTGGCTCGCGTTAATTTATCCCCTTAGGGGTGGAATTTATCAAAATATCAAAATCCTTTCTTGGGGAATGCTACGTCATAGTTGCTTTATGCATGCTAAGTCTGCAAACATTTTTATTCATGAGTATGTATGTGTATATTTGTGACTAGTCTGGGTGTTTTCTATGTATTTATAAAAAAACTAAGTATTTATTTTAATTGTCTAGTACCCATAACACAAGCTCTGCTTGCCGTGGGACTAGATGGCGCTGTGTTAATTGTCCAGGGTTATTTATATTATATATTTATTCTATATTCACGAGCAGTTTAAAATTAAAACAAATGTTTATACACATTAACTATCTTTAATTACAATAACTTTAATTTCTATTCAGTAAAAGTATTATACATTAGAATTAGTCACAACGTAAATTAAGTAAATAATCTTGAACTTGAATACCACAGACTATGAAACTTGCACAGTGTAGTCAACGAGCCAGAGACATTATTCGTCAAAAATTTTGAAAACTTCCAACATGGAAAACATCTAACAACATGTTGAATCTAACAAAGCAAGCTGCTGGGCTGCTAAAATAGGTGATACTATGTAACATTATGTTATCTATGGTGATACTGAGGTACCCATGTAGACAAGTTTTCACAAAGTAGATCTTGGCAAAAAATTGAAGAATAGATCTTAGTTAATTTTTTTTATTCTACTGAGTTCTTGGTAAAAATGGGATCGCTTCATGAATGTTCTGCATAGCTTTTGGTTTGGTTTTTACATCTGAAGATCAAAATCAGGTCCTAGCAACTTCTTGTACATTATATAAGAGAAGAAATGGAATAATTTTTAAAATAAGAACATCAATAAAGTAAAAAATATGAAGACATGGCTGTATGGGCGCAGTGCCGATAAAGTATAACCAGAACCAAGAGAAAAAGGAATAATCTTTCTTAACTTATACCTCATTTTACATCGATATCACCTCTTATTGATCACAAATATAAAATATAATGTTATATAATCTATAACCTTTCTCAATAAATGTGCTACACAACACTAAAACAATTTTTCAAATCGAACTCTAAAATCGATCGATTACTTTCCGAGATTAACGCGTTCTAGACAAACAAAATACTCACAGTTATATTAAGAATAGTTTGTATGGAAGATTTAAAAATTCTTATTTAACGATTGCCCCAAAGTGCAGAAATAACTTTATGAGATTAACGCGTTGAAGACTAACAAAATCTTCACCACTATATTAAGTACTAGTTGTGCCCGCGGTTTCATTTATAGCCTATATGTTATTCTGATGTATAAACTATATTACTGTAAACTTTCATAAAAATCTGTTCAATAGTTTTTGCGTGAAAGAATAACAAACAACTATCCATACTCACAAACTACGGAAGAATTAAAAATCGTTATTTAACGATTGTATTTAGATGAAGTAAATACTTTATGAGATTAACGCATTGTAGACAAACAAAATATTCAGCATTAAGTTAAGTGAAGTTTGTATAGAAGATTTAAAAATTCTTATTTAACGATTGTCCTCAGATAGAGTATTTCACTTTCACATCACGAATAGTATCACCAAGGAATATCCAATAGTATTGATATCTGCAAATAACTTGAGCTGATTTCACCACGTGACCGGCGTACTAACAATATCACGGACAAAATAGTCTATTGCTCTTTTATCTATGATTCAAATTGTTCATCGCATCGTTTGCATCCCCTCTCTCATGGGGACGTCCATTAATCACGTGATCTTTTTTTAGCATTTTAACTCCCCCACCTGCCCCTTGGTGAGAAGTAGTCAGGTTTACGAGAACCCCCCTCTCCGTTCAACATCACGTGAATTTTTAGTGCTTACAAAGAATCTTATAATTTTTAGAATATCATCTTTAAATAAAGGCTTAAATCTTATTTTATTCTGGAATTTAGAAACATGATAAAAATGTCTAGACTAAGTTGCAGATTGTTTTTGATTGCCATAAAAATAAATACACAGGATAGAGTGTACATACTTTCCAAAGGGATACCCTCTTTGGATAGTATACACTCTATCCCGAGGATGTGGGTGAGTAGTCTGTGGTTTTTCACTCTGCATAAATACTGTTGTCTATGGTTTCACTCTGCATAAGTAATGTAGTCTATGGTTTCACTCTGCATAAGTAATGTAGTCTGTGGTAAGTCTAGGTCTGTATAAGGGTGAGGCGGACCCGGGAGTCTGCCGGGTGCAACGTTTGCGGAGAACGAGGATCTGCTGGAAACGGTCCGCAACGCTGCATCGCCGGCTTGAACTGCACGTGTTGTAATATGCGCGCCATACAACACTTCATTTGCATGCTTCCGAAGCGTTTGCCTGCGACACATATAATGTAATTTAATAAACACCCAAATAAACTAGTTGTCGCCTAGTGATCGACCGTAACTCAATTATATAAACTAGTGATAGAAATTCGACCATAATTAATTTAACATTATATGTTAACAGACTATAGGCAAATAATATCAAACCCAAACTTGTAGTCGTCCAGTGGTCGAACTTCGACCATAATTAATTTAAAACTTAGTAAAATTATAGACAAATAATATCAAAGATAAACCAGTAGTCGCCCAGAGGTCGATATTCGACCATAATTAATTTAAAACTTAGTAAAACTATAGACAAATAATATCAAAGACAAACTAGTGGTCGCCCAATGGTCAAAATTCGACCATAATTAACTTAACATTCAATAAGACTATAGACTAATAATATCAAAGACAAACTAGTGGTCGCCCAGTGGTCATAATTCATTTAACATTCTTATTGAATGACATACTATAGACAAATAATGTTAAAGATAAAGTGTATGTATACTCGTACATTTATTTTTCAATTTGACCACAAACTTTAACAATAAACAAAAGAGGTATATACATGGAAGAGTGTGTAATGTTTTTTATTGATTTAATGTATTTTGTATGCATAATTCAATCACGAGCTGACCAGTACAAGGTTTTTTTAACTTGGACAAAATCTATCTCGGAGTCCCGCTCGCTCCGGGGGGAGGCAAGCAGGAACTGTAAGCCTCCTACTTTCTAAAATCTCTAAGATGTCTCTCATCCAACGACATGAGCCGAAGTCGCGGAATCGGTTTGTCAGTCCTCCGCTTCTCCAACGGCAGTGGCCCACATTAGCTGTGAGCCGAATCTCTGCGGGTTCCCTAATGGAACCCACAACCCTAGTACAGCTTTAAAGTCAACAGTTCTTCTCACCAATGCAATACCGCGGTCCATCCCCGAACGGCATGTAGACGCCGGCCGGCAGAGCATCGCCGGACGCCCACCGCTCCGGCACGAATGAATCACCGTCCTTGAAGTACTAAAAACACCACACCAGATGTATATATTACTATCAATAGTTGAGTACTAAATACAAATATATTTTACTATCAATACCTGCCTTTACATGAGCGATTCTTTCACGCGCGTTCTAAAGCACGCGCGATTTAGCAGAGGAAGGCCAGCGCGCGCAAACATTCTCTTCTCCTATCTTTAAAATTTTATTTGATACTAGCTAAGCCCGCGGTTTCAGCCGCATTAAATTTCGATAAAATGTAGCCTCTATCTTATTCTGATGCATAAGCTGTAAAGTTTCATCAAAATCCGTTCAGTAGTTTTTGCGTGAAAGAGTAACAAACATTCATACTCACAAACATTCGCGTTTATAATATTATTAATATTTCACAGATTTTATTTTGCAGAGACACTTACAAGATTTATCAATAACTCTACGCACATTTGTTTCTGTGTCACAGAATATTCACACGTTAATAAGCATATGTAAAGGCAGATAATTTCTACCAGGGAACAATACGGATTTTTTCCAACGGTTGACCTAATATAGTTTATAGCCAGAGCTTGTTTATACGGCTGAAACTAGTTTCCATAATTATAAAACAGAGTAGTCTTAATTGAAATAAAATTAATATAAGCACTTTTGAGTAGCAATATTTTTTGAATGCAGAGTCATCACAAGAAGAAGGATCAAGAAGCTCGCGTGTTGCTCTTCTGAATAAATATTATTATAAATAAATACACAGTAACATGTAGGAGGTATGCGATAATCAACACATGTATAGTAGAAACCACTACGCACTCATTCTTAGTTACTCACAATTATTGCGTGTTGCTCATTACGTATTAAATTGAAATGTTACCTTCTCATCTCTATGCAGGCCCAATGTGGGGAAGAAGATGGTGGTCCCCTTCTCTATAGTGACTTGAGTGTCCGGTATGATATAGTCCTTTGTACATTCACGCTGTATGAACGGGAATGGCGGATACAAACGGAGGGTCTCTGAAAGGTTACATCATTGTTTATGAACTGGCGCTGTGTGACTTTTCGCGCTCACAACTCCCTCAGCTGGCTGCTGAAAAGTAACCGCCGCAAATAATTCCTATTCGCGACGTAAACGAATGACTGGTGTGGCCTACCCCAGCAGAATGCTCGGTCAAAGAGCTCGGCTCGAGACCCGAACCCTGTGTTCCGCAAGGACTAGCGGACGACTCGGAATCTAAATTTTCACGCTCCCGTGCGATTTACACTCCATCATGGAAACACGTCATTCGCGACATTGCGGCGATCAAAGTCAAACTGGCGAGCGACTCTAATCCTTATCCCCATTTCACAATTTTTTCAGCCGGTTATATAACCCTAGCCGATTTCGCCACAGCAGCGTAAAAGAACTACGCTGGGGTGATTCTCCCCAGCAGAACGTCCAAGTAAGGAACGTATGCTCTAGGCCCGTACCAAGCGTCCGTAAAGGATACGGTAATATTTTTTATTTAATGCATTTTTTAAGCATAATTTTAAAGGAATATAAAATTTTGCATATTCTTCTCTACATAATCTATAAGTGTGCGAAATTTAATAGACCTCTGCATCCTCTTCGTTCGCGCAGTTTTTAGTTAGTAGTTTTCATAAAAAAGGTACAAAGTTTTTGCTTCATGCATTACTATATAGTCTCACCTTGTATCACCATGTCCATATAAGTCAGCTCCTGTAGCGCTTCATAGCCGATGGTGCCTCCGTGTCTCTCCATCACCTCCCGGATTTCCGCCCTCATCTTCTCCTGGATATCAGGGTGGGCGGCCAGTTCCATCACCATGAAGGCCAACGTGGAAGACGACGTTTCGAATCCTCCAAGTAGGAGTATGAACGCGTTGGCAGCTATCAACATATCCGCTGGAATTATAATGAAATGATTCCCTACTGATATCCGCGACTTTGCCTGCACATTCATCCCCTATTTCACTCCCTTCTAAATTATTTTTTTGAGATTAAAGATAACCTATGTCCGTCCTCCTTGTATAAATATAATCTATTTTCATGTAAAATTTTATTAAAATCAGTTCACCAGTTTATCCGGGACAAGGAGATAGATAGAGAGACAACATAACTGGTGTTATAGGTACTAGACAACTGTTAGAAATACTTAAATACATAAAAAAACATCCAGACTAAACAAATAATAATCGTCATGAATATATTGCCTACAACTTTAAAAAAACTATCTGACTATTTAGTTGCGGAGCAATAACATTTAATATAGTCTATGGCACAGTGTTAATTTATGGCGCAATTACGTGCATACAACTGTCGGCATTATAATTTAAATATATGCATTGTGCGGGAAACGAACCCGCGACCATCCGAAGTAAGACGGTGTACTAAACCGCTAGACCGCCGAGACCGTCAATAGACATTTCAGAATCAGCTGGATATTGAAATTGGCATAAAGTCTTTGGATTTAAGATTCTAAGTCCTACCCATTGGAGTGACATTAATCCGCGTGGTAAAGCACTAGACTTTATAAAGACAAAAGTTGCATTAATCCGGTGCCCAATAGCAGTTCAGATTAAACTTGTAACTAGGGATGCTCGATATACATCGATGTTTAGTTGAAAAATATCGATAACTAAGTCTGCAATAACATCAATACATTGGTTTTTTTATATGGATGATAATGGAATGGTACATTCGATTGAGCTAACGGTATACATTGCAAGGCACCAGGGGAGGATAATGGATGACTCATATATAATGTTAGTTAGCGCCCTTGTGCCTCTGTAACAGTGGAGGATAATATGATAAGTATGAAGTCAGGTCAATTAGCACATCCTGGTAAATTCACCAAGAATTTGTTACGGCTGTTTCCAGGGTAGGCCGCGGAGATCAACCTGATGTAGTACATTGCTAGCAATAGGATTATTATTTGTCTTATTACTTATTAGTCCACATCATTCATAATAGCATCATCATCTGCTTCTGCCTTATCCCATTTATTTGTGGTCGGCGTAATATGTTTTACGCTTGCATTCATCCCTGTTCGCAGTCATCGCGTTCTTTACTTCCTTTCTTACCATATCATCTTTCACACAGTCCATCCATCTCTTTTTCGGACTTCCTCTGCCCTTATAACCATCCACATCATTCATAATAGTATTACCTGATTATAGGTAGACTAGCTGTGCCCGCGGTTTCAGAGCCTTAAATTTCAATATAAAATATAGCCTATGTGTTATTATGGTGCATAAATATATTACTGTAAAGTTTCTTCAAAATGCGTTCAATAGTTTTTGCATGAAAGAGTAACAAACATCCATACTTAGAAGCTTTCGCGTTTATAATATTATTAAGATTAAAATTGATATGTATCGACATCGACGTTTCCCCAACTACGCTCATCCCTAGTTGTAACGAGTCTCCCAAGTTGGGAGATATTTTTCAGAAGTTATTACAACATGTAATAATTTATGCGTCTCCAAGTTATGACAACTACGCACCGTGCCTAAGGTTGGGATGTCATTTTGGGGAATTGACTAGTTAAACTTCGAAATCATTGTTGTAAACTTTCTAAAGTACGCTTGATTTATAAATTTATATTTATTTATTTTTTTATATCAAAGTATCGACATTGTTTGCGATCGCAAATAGTCAAAATGACTACATTTAAAAATAAAATTAAAAAAATATCTAATTTGGAACGTCACGCGTAAAACATCGATATTGTTTTGTTTTACGTTTTATACATTTTTTCACTACTTCTCGAACATTCCGTGGCATCACTATCAAATTCAGTGTACAATAAATTCCAAACATTTTTTATTTTATTATCATAACAACTTAAATACAGCAATATTCCTCCAGCAAACGGACATAATCCTTATTGAAATATCTCATAAACATAAATAAGAACTCTGGACTATTCATAAGGCGCCATCTGTTGAGAAAACACCAATACCATCTAGTACCAATCTAAGTAGAGCTTATATTCTAGGCACTAGGCAAGTCGTAGAAATACTTAAATATATTATTTTATAAATACGTCAAGATTGTACCTTACTGTAATAAAAACATAAATAATAACAATAACCCTGTACTATTCACAACGCTATCCTATTCCAATCTAAGTAGAGCTTGTGTTCTAGGTACTAGACAATTGAAAGATAAAAAACAATACTTAAATACATTTATTTGTAAACACATAAATAACGTCCAAATCCTGACAATCATATTCGAGAAAGCAAATGCATTGTGCGAGAAATCGAACCTGCAACCATTAAACTTAAAGCGGTATGGTACACTGCTATACCAGCGTAATTAACGATGACATTGATGCACCCTATTGAGTTGTTTTAATTGATATTGAAACTATACTAACTGATAACAATGTCAGCAGGTTCTGGTGTTTTGGCATCGTTGATCCCACCTTCCTGACGAAGCGTCATCATCATATCTATGAAGTCGCTGCGTTTGGCCTGCTCGCCTGGAAGAAATTTTTTTTATATGTAATTAGAATAGAAATTGAAATAAACTCAATACAAGCACTTTTGAATAGTCATATTTTTTATTTCACCAATCAAACGGAACGCCAACTCATCACAAGAACAATGAGCAAGAAAACTGTGTGTTGCTCTGAATAGATATTATTTAAGAACGGCTAACAAATCACCTGATGGTACGCAGTAACCTCCGATCGATCCCCCGTCCAATTCAAACGGGGATCGATATTACGACGGCCGGAGCCGAGGTTGGAACCCCAAGCGGTGCCCTCAGACTAAAGTCGTATCCGTCAGGCGGAAATTGGCCTTCAGCCGCTCCGTAAGTCCTTCCGCGGGTTTGGAGTGCCATCTGCACTTGATCATCCGGTGAAGCTGTAAAGGCCAGCTGCAGGCAACAGCATTAGAGTAGTCCGAAAACAAAAAGGTAACCATCGCCTATATATATGAATAGCACTACGGATATCACGTTATCATGTGACACCCGTGATGCAACTCATGTTGCATATCAAAAATTACTACATGTGTAAAACACATAAAATCTCTCTCTATATTTATAAAATCTCAGTATACTTTTAAAAGGATGGATATGTAATCTCAGTATCTCTTTAAAAGCTACAGAATTGTCTTTCAAATTATAATGTTGACGAAATCACCGAACAAAAGAGGCGGCAAGAAGGAATGTTTTTATAAAATCATAAACAATGTTTGTAAATAAATTAGTAGTATAGCAAAATATTGTATATATATTTTATGTAATATAAATTTACTAAATTTACTACTAAACTACCGCCATAGAATAAAAAATTATATATAGAAGTATATTTTTTTATTATATATATAAAATATTTATACCTACAATTATTTATAAAAAAAATACAAACCTTTTTCCCTGGACCGGAGCACGTTGACGATAAGGCTGTAGAAATAGTTCTCAGTTTTTTTCGGTATGATCCTTATTCTGAAGAACATCGCAAACGCAGGCCACAACTGCTGTACTGTTCTGCAAAAATGACAATCAAATCACAACCTTAGCGGTCTAGCTGATTAGTACACCGCTTTATTTTAGATTCTATTCTATTCTATTCTATTCTATACTTTCTATGTTCACGTGTAATTTAATTAATCTAAAGTAAAGCGTTGTACTAACATAGAAAGTATAAAATAGAATAGAATAACGTAATAAATGTTATTCTATTCTACACTTTCTATGTTCGCGGGTTCGATTCCTCGCACAGTACATACATTTGTATTTATAAGTATGATTGATTCTATTAAACCGGGTGTTATCTATGTATATTATGTATGCATTTATAATTTACATCAGTTGTCTAGTACCCATAACACAAGCTCTGCTTAGCTCGGGACGTGGGTGCTGAATTTACACATAAATTTTCATAACAATCGGTCAAGCGCTTTCTGAGAAGTTTTGTTACAAACTGTGAGACGAGAATTGTATATATATATATATATATATACATACAGTCAACCCTGCTATAACGCGGTGAGTGGGTACGCACTATATGGATATGATATGATATATCGCGTTATATGGAAACCGCGTTCTGAGAGTACCGCGTTATAGGAAGGTTGACTGTATATGTTTTTTAACTTACTTCTGAAATATATTGAATAAAGTCATTTCGTAAAAGGAGCGTAGAGCGACCGCCACTGGATGATTCTCATTCTCCATCACGTCGCTCTTAAAGCCGAAAGCACATGGCACTATAGCGTCCGCAGTGTACCCCTCGAAGAACCTCGAGCCATTAACCAGGACCGAATCGTCAGTTTGCACTGCTTCTTCTCCACCACGCAATTTATTCTTCTCTATCCTTAACATATCTTTTATTTTGATAAGGAATTTGTCGGCTACATTCTCAATTATAGGATACATTCCCCTTAATTTGTTAGGGCTGAAACAGAATAGAGAATTTTGTTAAGTGATTATAAATTATATTACTTTAACTAGCTATATACCGCAGCGATGTTTCATACGAGCAGACTTCAGATAGCTGTTGTTACTCGCTGGTAACAGTTTTTAACCGATTCCAAAAAAGGTAGAGGAGGTTCTCAATTCGGCTGTATTTTTTTTAATGTTTGTTACTTTATATCTCCGACATTTATAAACCGATTGGAAAAATACTTTTATTATTTGAAAGAGTGTCTACACGGTTTTCTTTTTATAGATGAAAGAATATATAAATAATATAAAAATTTGTGAAATAACTGCTTTTTGATTTTATTTTTATGTAGCATAGGCGTAGCTGTAGGCGAAGCAAAAAGGACGGTCAACATCTTAACCCTCCTTTTTGCTTCGCCGCAGTCGAGTCATGAATAGCTATACCAAAGGTATATTAGCAGAAAATGTTGACACCAGTTATTTCATTGTTGACTCTAGTTCTCTACAAACACGGTTCATTATTACGTAACACAGCATCCTGATGTTTCCTGTCAGGCCGATAGTATCTCACATCTCCATACATTACCGATTTGGTAGAATTTCGGTAATGATTTATGTATTCTTCGACAGTTCTACATATATTCTTCAGTTAAGTTACCCATTAACGTTTTTTGCGTAATAAATCATATAAAACATACTATGTATTCAAAATAAATCTATTAAAAATAATATTTTATTATTACATATTCCATATTGTATATAGTTTATATATTTTAATATCAATTATTAGATTTATGATCTCTGATCAGCGCGGTGGTTGACTGGTAGAGAATTGTTTCGGCACTAATTCCGCATATTGTGTTTGCAAAATAAGAAATAAATAAATAAAATTGTATATTATTATGTTGCATTTGACGGCCTCGTTGGTCTATTCGTTAACACACTGCCTTACTTCCGATCGTCGTAAGTTCGATTTCTAGTACGAAAATATTTTTTATGTATGAGTATAATTGTTTGTATCTGTCTTATTAGAAAATGATTTCTTTGTAAAAATATCATAATAATATACTAAACATAAAATTCATAACGCTGACAATATTATCTGATTGCACAAAGATTGAGTGCGTGCACGCACTTGCTTACTCTTCTTGTGTTGCGTCTGCGTTCCGAATAAGTAGTAGATTATAAAATAAGATTAATCAAAAGTGCTTATATTAAGTTTATTTGAAAATATTTCTTCTCTATTCTATTCCATATAAATACCTATATATTTATATCATTTCTCTAGTAACTATAACTCAAGCTCTGCTTAGACTAGATGGCGCTGTGGGAATTGTTTTGAGATATTACTATTATTCACCCCGACGTCAATGGTTGAAAATATCCTTTAAAAACACATGGATATTGATTGGTAGTAATAAAAAATAAATATGACAATATCTTACGAGAATGTGGGCGATATCTTAGTTCGAAGTTTCCTCCACTCGGTGCCCCTGAGGAAGACCAGAGACTCGACCATCGGGTCCACATCCTTGTGGTAGTAGAAGCCTCGGTCTGTGAAGTGGTGGAAGTCGTTCACGCATACCCTCCTGATCAGCTCAGGGTCGTGGACAATAAGAGTCCTCGCGAAGAACTGATGAATGCCTGCAAAGTAACAAAAACATGCATTTACTATGGGTACTTACTAGACGTCTTATATACACACTTATATACAAATTATTCTTTGTTGTTACTTATAATACTTATAATTGTTACTTATAATATATTTATTAACAGAATTATCGATATAATATTATAATATATATACACAAACAGATATAAATGAATACAAATATTTTTCTTGTTATACGGGATAATTACAACGCATAATAGTATAAAGATATAAAATATATTGTTCGGGGTCTCTAAAAGTTATGACTACTACTCGCTCTTAACAGATTTTTTGTGGCGTCTACGTATGTAAAATATGGCCCGTCATTCAACGTACTATATAGCACAAAAATGGATGACACGTACGTATGACAGTTCGAAATAATATTTTCAGCACCGGCCGCGGCGGCTCCACGATTTTCTAGCTCAATTCCATATCGTAGAATTGCGTGTCAGGCTTATCTCAGTTTGAACTGTGACACGAATGTTAAATATTTTCTCGGGTTCTTGAAAGCTTATTCAAATCCGTGACAAACCTATTTCCAAGTGCAACGGCAAAGTCCCGTGGGACTAAATCAAAATCGACTCAAAGTCAAAAATCATTTATTTATGTAGGACATTTTAGCGACTTCTGAACTTCAAGTTTTTTGGTATAATAATTTTTTCTTTAACGTCCAGTTCAGTATACAGATTCATTTGAGAATTGGCGAGACACATTATTTATTTTTTTAAAGCCAGTTTATTTACATTATGAGCTTGTATGTCTAATATTGTATTTGCAAGTGTCGTTATTTGTTAACTAAACTGTGGCTTGTCCAGAGTCCAGAGTATGATACTGGATTGAAAATTTGACAATCCGTAATCCGTAGCAGATCAGAAATATATACATATCATCATGCTCATTGCAGTATTGGTGAGAAAATATCTTATATTGTTGAAGAAGAAATTATCTTATCTGGAACTGTCAAAAGTAACTGTAACAGCAGGTCGCGTTAGACCATATCTTTTTATTCAAATATTAAAAGGTATTCCTTAGAAAAATGTTTTTAAAGCTATTGCTTTAAAAACATTATTCTAAAATGAAAACGATTGAATCTATTTTAATACGGCTATTTTCAAAATACCTTTCTGAGTAGTACTAATTGGGTACTACTCAGAAAGGTATTTATAATTATATTTCTATGAAATAATGAACCTTTTGTTAACTGTCAAAACAAGCCCTTGAACCAAACGCAGCGTCAACAAATTGAAAATTTCAATAAATAAAAATAAAATATGACGTAAGTACATGGGAAAATATGATTTATATCTGTATCACCTTATATGTACATCATTTATATTATATACTAGCTGTTCCCGCGACCTCGTCCGCGTGGAATTTAACTTTCTTATTCTAAAATAAAATGATGATGATGATGATTCTAAAATAAAAGTAGCTCAAGTTACTCCTTATTACATCAGCTACCTGCCAAAAAAAGTCCCGTCAAAATCGGTCCAGCTATTTCAGAGACTAGCCGGAACAAACAGACAGACAGACAGACAAAAATTGTAAAAAATGTTATTTTAGTGTATGTACCGTATTCATATTCATATGCATGTAGTAAAAAACTGTTATTTCAATATTACAAACAGACACTCCAATTTTATTTACATGTATAGATTAGTGAAATTACAGGATAGAGGTATGCAGAAGTGGTATCACGGGTGTGACAGAATAACGTGGTGTCTATACTGGGAAATCAGTTTGCTATCTGATTTTCATAGAAAAAAGACAACATATCTATTACATCGCTATGAAATTCTCTGGTAAAATCACTAATACTAGTAATACGTTCTGATGCTCAGTAATATACCTACATTTAAATTTGATTAAGATTCCATTCAAATGACAGAAGTAAACCTAGTCAATAATTATAAGTGCATTACCTGCCTTTTAATGAGGAATAAGCTCTCTTTTTGCATAATTAATCCTTACAATATTAAAAATGTTTGTGAGGAGAAATAAATCAAATTATCAAATTAAATTATAAATATGAAAGTAGAGATGTTTTTCACGCTTTCACGCAAAAACTACCGAACCGATCATCATGAAATTTTGTACTCATGTTCTTGGAGGTATTAGAATGAACATAGGATACTTTTTATTTAAAAAAATGAATATTTTTTATAAAAAAATAAAATATTAAAATTTTGCTACTTCAGTGCCATCTAGCAGCCAGTAATGAAGTTATGCGAGCGAAGCCGCGGGTAAAAGCTAGTAGCTAATAAAATTAAATACCCGTAAATTGTACTGGTGTCTATATGCATCAATGTTATCTGCAATAATGGATGCCTTCCTTGAACTTTGGATATGTTTTTTTGCTTACAATAAAGAATATCGGAGCACCCACGGTACTTGACTGACTCCTAACCGTTCCAAGTTACAGTATAATAATCGTAATATTTAAAATCTTTATTTATATTAAACTAACAGACCCGGTCACACGTTGCTGTGGCTAAGGTTCTTGAATAAAATAATATTGCGACTATAAATTGAGACGTAAGCTATCCAATCTTTCAAGTTGGTCAAATTTGCAATAGGTTCAGTAGTTTAATAATAATAATAAAACTCTTTATTGTGTACACATTAAATAATAAGAAAATACAGTAAATAGTAAAATAATTACAAATGGCGGTCTTTTTGCTAAAAGCAATCTCTTACTGACAACCTAGAAGAGAGGACTTCTGCACATAGAATAGAGTTGGTGGCACACATAAGACACTATTTATTATACTACTAAATATACATACTTACATTAGGGATAAATATATAAATCTACATATATACTGCATATTGGAAAAAATGAGAAAAAACAAATAAAAACATGTACTATGAAGAGAGAAAATGAGATCTTACTCTATTTTTAAATGACGCTTGTGTTTGAGCTGATCTAATGGAGAGTGGTAGAGAGTTCCAGAGGCGAATGGCTTGGACGGTGAAGGAGTTAGAATAATAAGTAGAGAAGTGAGCAGGGATCGCCAAACATAGGCTTCTGGTACTACGCAAAGCAGAACCTGGGGTATTAGTATGAAATTGGAACTTTGTTTTTAGATATTCAGGGGTGGAGGGGTGGAAAAGAATAGAGTAAAGGAGGGATAATATATGAAAATTCCTGCGAAGACGAAAAGGAAACCACTTGAGTTGACTGCGAAAATTGGAAATGTGGTCATACTTACGGAGACCAAAAATGAATTGTATGCACATATTTTGGAGTCGCTCAAGTTTATTTAATTGCTCTTCAGTGAGATTTACATAGCAACAATCCGCATAATCTAGGATCGGAAGTAATAGGATATGTGCGAGCGCAGTCAATAAATTGAAGTGGTAATAAACAAGACAAAATGGTCTACAACTCAGACGACGGCAATGAGTCACACCCTCTCTCCTATACTGTTATATCTTTTATCGGTATATTATTCGATAAAGGATAGAACGGCGACCTCGGTGGTCTAGCAGTTAAGTACACCACTTTTCTTCCAATGGTCGCGTGTTCGATTCGCACGGTGCAAACATTTGTATTAATGAGTTTGATCATAAAGTGAGTTTGTACCAGTCCAGTTATTTATTTATTATTATTACAATAAAAATCAACGACGAGTTTATACCAAACTTTTTCTTTTTACTCTCCTCCTAATAGTCGTATCAAGATATTAAATAACCTAGAAACTTTCTCAATAAACAAACTATCAAATGTAAAAAAGAAATTGTCAATTCTGATAAATGCATATATTAGCGTATTGAAACAAACAGACTCTTCCACTTTGTTATAGAAATAGTAACCATTTTCTCATATATATCCTCTAAAACCGCACAGTCCGAGACCAATTCCAGCCTAGGTTCCAGCATGTGGGAATGAATTCCCTGTCAATGGCGAGCGTGACAATTTAAAATGTATATATTTGATAATTTAAATATCTGCATATGAAGGTAAATAGGTATTTCATAATTTCATCAACTAATATTTGTATTCAATGAAAATTACTTAACTTAAAATTGTATAAATTAACTCTCAATGTCACTATAATGGTATCTGGCTATTACGTATACTGTACTATGACCTACTGAATTAAGACCTTCATTCGAATGTCAATTTTCAACATAACGTATTAGAGTCAAATTTCGTTTCGACAACAACGCCCTATATTCTTAATTTCTTAGCTTTGTATGCGTATTGCAGATTCCGACTGATACTGAAGAATTTCGATATCTGATACTCGTTACGAGTACATAGATATATAATGTAATACCGCGTTATAGTGACATTATCCATGCCTATAGACCGCAAATATTATAACAAAAGCAATTATGTAACGCCGACTTTCGATTGCGTGGTCAGTGCCCTCGAAAGAATAAGGAAAAAAGTAAATAAACTCATTTATAAAATAAATTCCATATTTATAATTCGAAATTTAAAATTAATTGAAAATGAAGTAGTGATATGAGATATGTATCATATATCAACTATCATATCCACATTCAAACAAATTGAACACTGAATAAAAAAAAGATTCTAATTTCAATCTTTTAAAATTATAATCTTCTTATTATTTATTTATTTTGTCAAGGCATTTAAATTGCTAAAAAGAAAATAAAATAATTTGAAAAAAGAACAGAATGATTATGTTCTAAAATTATAAAAATTAACAAACAAAACTGTATTTTGAAATCAATTATGTCTTGAAGGAGTTTCTAATTTCGAAAATATATATATATATGTAAAGTACAAAAATGGCAAAAGCAAAATGACTACACAATAATAAATAAAATATATATTGTCACGTCTGTAATCCTAGATGAGGTAATCAGAATCATTGTCAACTATCAACATTATGAACGTAACACCTGACACGCCCACATTTCGCTGGCAGTATTAGAATCTAAATCTAATATTTGTTCAAATTATTTTAAAAAAGTTTCAAATATCGTATAAAACACTTTCTCTGTAAAAGTGCTTTCTATAAAATTGAAGAGTTTGTAAATGATAGTAATGGTTTTGTGGAAAAAACTCTGCTCATTATACTTGTGATGAGTCTGCGTTCCGAAAAAAATATGACTATTCATAACTGCTTGTACTGAGTTTATGTGATTAAAGAATATTTCTATTTTCAATAACAATATTAGGAAAACAAAAAATATATGTCTGTACTACTAGTACTGTTCATTCGGAATCCAGGTTACGCAAAGAACTATCAGCAAGAAATTGCGGGGTTACTCTTTTTGCCATTTTCAATAAATAATTCACTTTTATAAGAAATACGGAAAACAAAGCGATTTATCGATGGTATACAAAAAGTACCTAGGTTTACTACAGTTTTAATAAGAATACTTAGGTGGGGAAGGTAATTGTTAATAATGTGGACTGATAACCCCATTGCTAGCAATGTCAGATTAACTCCACGCGATTCCCCCTGTAAACCATCCTGATAAACTCCTCGAGTCGACAGCCTCGGCGGTCTAGTGGTGTAGCACACCACCTTACTTCCTGATCGCTTGTTCGATTCCTCGCACGACACAAACATTTGTATTCATGGGAATTATTGTTTGTACCGATCTGGATGCTTTCTATGTATAATATGTACATATATATTTAAAACAAGCTTTAGCTAGGTTAACTTGGGTCTAGATGGCGCTGTGTGAATTGTCCTGAGATTATTATTACAATAAATTCCTGGTGAATTTGCTACGATGGACTGATCTGACCTCATGCTCATCCTATCATCCTTCACTGGTGCCCCATCTGCGTACACCGCTATTACAGGTGGGTGCACAATACTAATATAGACCATTGGGGGGAAGAAGGATTGTTAATAATGTGGACTGATGACCCTATTGCTAGCAATGTAACATCTCAGTTTGACCTCCATGAGGTTCCCCCGGGAAACCATCATGATAAATTCCTGGCGAATTTACCACGATGGGCTAGCTGACCTGACCTCATGCTCATCTTATTATCCTCCACTGGTGCCCCGTCAGCGTACACTGTTAGCACAGGCAGGTACAAGGCAGGCACAAGGCACAGGCACAATACCATTAAAAAACTTCTTAATTACATATTACTTCATTAAAACTCTTACATAAGTACAGAATATCATTCGTAATAATTTACTAAAACAAAAGCTACTTAGCTCAGTACAGTAAACGCGAAAATGCTTAAGTAAATGTAATAAGCCTTAGTAATACGGCCGGTGACCCAGAGACCCAGTGAACACGTCTTGATTTAATTAACAAGTTATTGAATCATTAATCAATGTACAGCTCTAATAATTAGAGTAGACGGCCTCGGTGCTCTAGCGGTTTGGCACACCGCCTTACTTCCGATGGTCGCGGGTTCGATTCCTCGCACGGTAGAGGCATTTGTATTAATGAGTGTCATTGTTTGTATCGGTCTGGGTATTTTCTATATATGATATAGAAACTTGTACATTCAAGCCAATACAAACATTCGTACTCGTGAATACAAATGTTTGTGCCGTGCGAGTAGTCGAACCCGCGACCATAGGAAGTAGGATGGTATGCCAAACCGAGACCGTGAATTTTGAGCTCGTTATACCTCGGTTAAATTATAATTGCATTCAATAATTTAATTTCAACAACTTAATAATTAATAATAATAATGAAAATTATTTCTATCGAAATACGTAATAATATTAACAAAATTTATTACATGTCAATCACCCTTAATAATAGCATTATAAACATTTTTATTAGACTAACTTCTTTACATTTTCGACGCTCAACGTGATTTTATAAAAAAAAGAATAGCCTAAATCCTTACTTACTGACAGCCATATTAATTTAATTAATTCCCGCCAAAATTAATTTCACTGCATTCTGATATTAATTTCGCAAATTGAATTAAAATTAAATTGTTTATAACGGGCTAATTATTTATTTCTAGTCATTTATTATCAGAATAAGATATAATATATAAGAAAAAAATGAGACAGAAAATTAAGGTAAATATGTCTAAAAAATATATTTGAGTAGTGATAACTTACCTATAAATCTTTCATTTTTGTACGTATCGTAATATCTCTTGAATAAGTTGCCTGTTTGATCCTTGAAGGACAACAAAGGTCCTATATGACCAAGAAACGGCAGGGCTGGCGGTGAAAAGACGCCTCTCTGGCTCCAATAGTCATGATCATACGTCCCAAGTGTCAGAAATACCGCCAATGTGAGGGTCACCGCCAAAATATACCATGCAAAGTCATTTCCAAACGTCCAGTATTTCAGAGCCCATAATAAAAGCACAATGGACTGGACCAATGAGCGTCTGAATCCAAACATTTTGATGTCATCTCAAGCCCAAAAGTTTCGTAAACATAATTGGTAATACAAAAACTAATTTAATAATCACAACGAACAGAATTTTTCCGAAAGACTGTCAAAATTAACGGCACGAACATAAACATTTTATTTTGTATTCACTTTTTGTTTATTTTATTAAATATTATTCCATAAATATGTTTTTTATTAAATATATCACGAACCATAAATTGTCTTAAAATAACACTGCAAATTCCATTTGTTGTTGTTTTTTAATTGTTGTATTTACAACCGACTCAAATTATAATCGCGTTCGAATTTCAGATTTACTTTTAAACAAGGTACGCATTATGGCGGCGTTCGTTTCGCGCTTGCGCACAGTGGCCATATGCCAAATAACTGCGCAATGCACGCAATGATGCTGCAAAAGAGAAAGTAGAAGGAGGGAGACAGACGGATGTATCTTAAGATTTTGGACAACTGGCCGGCAAATTGCTACTTATTCCGATCGCAACAATATCCTATACGTTTCGTTGACATCAGTTGTGTGTTGACGATAGACCACCACAAACTTTGTTTTTTTTAATTTTTAATTTTAGAATACTTTTAATTTTCTTTTTTTTATACAATAATTGACTGTCTTATCTTCGTTCACAACAGAATGAATTAGGTATACCTAAGTATGTAATTTAATATATTATTGTGTTTTCATCGTATACCATTACCCATACAGTCCACCGATTCAATACATCATGTATAGAATATATATTTCTTTATACAAGAGTAATAACGTACTTAATCGGCTAGTATCCAGCGCCTGTAATCATAAATTATATTTATCATATGGTGTCAATTATGTTATTAGTTTTAACAGGAGGCATTGGAAATAAGCATTTAACTATATTACCCTGGTTTTTGCCATTCCTGAGAGTCCTTGACCTTGACATCGATCTGGTCCATGTGGTGAAAGATTAAGAAGACAATAAGTCGGCATTCAAGAATGGTAAACTCACATTTGGGGGGAAAAGGGGATTAGTAATTTGGACTGATTTATTATTGCTAGCAATGTACCTGTCAGGATGGGTTAAATGACCTGACCTTATACTCATTCCCTCCAGCGTAAACCGTTAACGCAGGAGGGTGCACCATTCTATAACCATCCATAAAAAAACATTCATCTAAGTATATTTAAATCCGTCATCTCTCGTATTAATTTGGTTTGTTACCGGTGTTTCTATCGACGGAGATTTAGACAAATATAACTTGACACACAAAGTGAAATATAGATATATATAAAGAAAATAACATGACATATAATGTTTTTATATGGGTTATTGGTTTACACACAATAGAGTTAGTTCTATTATGTAACGCTCATAGGTCTGTCTGTCATCTTAACCTACATCGCACCTTTACCTTTGTGTCAGTGTCATTTTAGGGTCCCATAGCTCAAGAGACGTTATGTCTACTCAATGTATAGATCAAGTAGATTGAGAGACGTGGATGATATTTTTATCAACTATCTTTTTTTTACGAGTATTATACTTACATCTTTACATAGTATAAAATATAGTCGCAGTTCGTTCGCTTAAATCTTTTAAACTACGCAACGGATTTTAAAGTAGTTTTTAGTAATAGATAGAGTAATTCAAGAGGTTTATATGTATGATACATATACACGGGAGGTATACTACAGTTATGGAATTGGAACAAAATAGATATAAAAATAATCTTCATTCAAATAAACTCAATAAATAAACGTTTGAATAGTCATATTTTTTATTCTACCACTCATTCGGAACGCAGATTCATCACAAGAAGAATGAGCAAGAAGCTTGTGTGTTGCTCTTTTTAATAGTTGTTTTTTTTTTTATATAAATAATTAATGACCATATACAATAACAAGTAAGAGGCATCCGGTAATCAACATAGAAATCGCTAAGCACTCATTCTTAGTGCAAACAGATAATATTGTCTGCGCTATGAATTGAGACTTTGAGAGTAAAAGCGCCAGCTCGGAAGTCCGGAATTTCATACCCGTCAATGCCACTCAAGCGCAAGACGGTAGAGAAGAAAACACCCGTGACCCGAGTTTTGACTTGATTGACTGATGGATATCATTACATATTATAAAACAAAGTCACTGTCGCTGTCTGTCCGCCCCTATATATGCTTAAATCTTTAAAACTACGCAATGGATTTTGAAGCGGTTTATTTTAATAGATAGAATGATTCAAGAGGAAGGTTTATATATATAATACATGTACACCCGTGCAAAGCCGGACCGAGTAGCTAGTGAAATATAAGTTTAGTTTTAACACAGGTTTTATATTCCGAAATACATTATGAATTTGAGTTAAGTTTAATAACTTTCAAACAGGTCAAATGGGTTGACTACAATGACTGTATGGTCGATACATGTACCTACAATACAAATATTTATATCTTCATTATGTCTTTACATACAATAAAATCGTAAATAATCGAAAACTGTCCGTTTGTATGAAAGTAGTGGCTGGAGGAATTACGATTTTTTTTTCACGGAATATAATAATAATAGTCTCAAAGCAATTCACACAGCGCTAATCTAGACCCAAGTTAAGCTAGCTAAAGCTTGTGTTATGAGTACTAGATAACTGTTATAATTACATACATATATTTTTTCCGTAAATACATACCTACATATTATACATAGAAAACACCCAGACCGACACAAACAATCATACTCATAAATACAAATATTTGTGCCGTGCAAGGAATCGAACCCGCGACCATCGGAAGTAAGGCGGTGTGCTAAAAAGGTAGACCACCGAGGCCGTCAAATAAAAGAATATGTTGTATAAAAATTAGTAAATTTAAAATAATTTTGTTAACCATTTGGGTAATTCGTACCCTCCTAGTAGGGTACAAATTTAAGCCTAGAGGCGAGCCCCCTTGCCCCGTAAATAACCTCCGCGGGTCTGGATAATAATAACAAAACCCTGGACAATCCACATAGAGTCATCTAGGCCAAAGCTAAGCAGAGCTTGTTTTATAACAAAATATATATATACTTAAATACATTATTCTACGTAATATACAAAGAAAACACTCAGACAATACAAATAATGCGATGTACGAGGAATCCAACCCGCAACCATGGGAAAGTAAGGTGATGTGCTAAACCACTAGACCACTGAAGTTGTCATTGTAGTGTATACACTAGCTGACCCGCGCAACTTCGTCTCCGTTCCTTTTGCAGTATTTTTCATTGCAGCTCCGCTCCTATTGGTCTTAGCGTAGGCATTAAGCTATATAGTAATGTTGTATAGATTAAAGCCTTCCTCAACAAATGGACAATCCAATTCAACAAGAAGTTTTTAATTCGAACCAGTAGTTCCTGAGATTATTTGAAGAGTTTATTTGTTTGTTTAACAAACAAACTTTTCAGCTTTATAATATTGGTATAGATATAATAGTTTATAAATATATCTGCTGGTACGGTGCGGATTGGATTAATTTTATCTATATTTAAATACATCAATAATGTATTACTAATTAAACCAAGATTGATGTAATTGGATGGCGTTTTAATTATTTTAATAAGCAATTTACATTACATTAACTAAGAAAAGATTCCCCGAAATTCTCGCGCGAACAGAAGTTAACTGGTTTCTGCACACGCAAAATCGCTGTAAACAATTAATTAGCTATTTATAACACTTTTGTCAAAAATTGTTCACAAAAAAAACGATTGAAGTGCATTATCAACCAATGTACAGACAAAGAGCAAAGTGTATATATATATCCAAGATTTATATTTTATAAATATATTTAGGATTTTTGTTTTATAATAATTACACGCCAATCATGACTATATTTGTTATAATACCAATGAGTAAACCCTACAAATTATTACTAGATTTGTTATTATACCAAGTTGAGTATATAAACTCTACAAAAAGAATCATCAATGATTTATTTTTTATTTTTTCTACAATGATTTAATTTCAATAATACAGTGTTAGGATGACCTAATAAGCGTAGGAACGCTTGTATCCGGTATATTCTGTACCCATATACCATCCCCATTACCAAGCATTTAAAAAGAAAATTTATAACATTAATATAAAAAACCTAATATAATAAAAACGAAAAAAGACGGTAAGTATAAAAAAATCAAATCAATTCAGAATTAAATGTGATATCATTAATATACATACAAAATAAAAATGCAGAATATTGGGAAGTTTCAGAAATGTAGTTAACTGAGTGTTCTTTATTGAAATGATAGCTTATATATAGATACATCTCTTGAAGTAAGCTATAAACAGACTCAATAAGTATCTAAGGTACATAGGCTGCTTTTTATCCCTACCAATCAGTAGGTAGGTAGGTACTTCAATCGTCGGACAATTTCTAATTCACGTGGAAACCTCAACGTCGTTAACTAATAATTGTGAAACATTGGAAATGTCAAAATGTGTTTCTAAGATGTTTGACCTTTCGCAGAAATGGAAGAAAATGTACAAGCCGATAGAAAAGTAGATAGTACATTTATTCTTTGGTAAACTTCAATAAATTTATTTAATAAGAAATATAGCTTGATTTACTTGATAAATTTAATGTCAGTATAGATATATTTACTACTATTTAAAACTAAACTATTAAACTTGTGCGTAATAATTGCGTTTGCAGATTTTGCCAAGTGCAAGAGGAAACGCCACTACATATCCTATGTGGTTGTAGCCTACTGACGCGTAAACGAAATATCTCCTTTGGAAAGTACGCTCTATCCTGAGGAGATAAAAACCATCGCTCCTAAGAATATTCTTCAATTTTGGTCCCTGACTGTCCCTAGGGAGTGAACTCTGAAAAAAGGGTGAGCACAATAGATATCTGTCACAGTACTACAAGACTAAAACACCGAAGCCAAACTCCGTCTATAAAAAATCGCACGTGTGCACAGTGAGTGACAGAGGTCATATTATTTTTGGGGATGATGATGGAATGATGGGGTGACAATGATATATATAAAGAGTTTATAAATGAATAAATAAATACATATACCTATCATTTTTGTTGTATTTTCTCTATAAAGGTTGCCTGGAAGAGATGTTCT